CCCCCCCCAATGTTTATGAGGCCATACCATATCAGAGTTCCAAGTAACACACCTGAGGATTTAGAAAGTGAGATGAAATCTGACCCAATGGTCAGTGTAGAAGCTTCCAGGTTGAATTATGTTATGAAGATGTTAAAAACACTGGTAATAGCCTGTATTAACATGCAGTTTGATGAGGAACAGGGACAGCTAGTAAAGTGCATCTTACACTTCTACACACACATACACACACATACACACACACACACACATACACACACACACACACATACACACACACACACCAAATCCTGCTTCATAGCCTAGTGCATTTTATTTCACTGCATTTTCTTTCCACTTCTTTTTAAACTGCCTTCTCAATGTTATCAATCACATCTCCATAATAGCAGCTGGGCAAAAAGAAATGCAGGTCATAGCTGGCTAGAAGTTATCTCCATGCTCATGTCACAGCCTCTCTTTCATTCAATTGAATCTCTCTCCCTAACAGCTCAGTTAGGCAGAAATATATAGAGGCTAATAATCTTTGGGAAACCTTTTATTAAAACCTGGTTGCAATTGGGCAGCAGTCAGAAATTAGAAGTGACAGTGAAATCAACAGCAGTCTTGTTTCAGTAGGAAACCTAGGATTAGAAGCAGAGATTTTCTTTAATACCAGTAGTCTTTCTGGTAATTCAGACATAGGATCATGAATGCTTACAGATCTACAGGATAATGAAACAAATCTCAGAACAGGCTCTGTAATACTCCACAACATTCAGTTAGAGAAATTAAAGGAGTTTTTCTAATAAACGAACCTCCCATATGTTAATATGGGAGACTTATTTGCCAGAAGTCAAGCACACAAAGCAAGCTATACATTGCAATTAAGAGTATCTACAGTTTTCTTTAAAAACATTCCAACATGAGACACTGAATCCGAACCATGGTTTGTTCCGTGAATGCCATTATGATTCAATCACTGAGCCTGTAGCAGTTGCTTGTCTGGAAGCCAGCAGTTACAAATAGAGTACATTAACTGTGTGGAAGGAGGATACCTGAAGGAAGCAGTAAGAGTTATACTTTGTATCTGGAAGAGGCTTACTTCCTGACCTGAGAGAAATAATAGAAGTAGATTACAAATAAAAGTAAATATTACAATAGAGGAAAAAAGTCCTCAAAATGGAGGGGGTTCCACAGATCCAGAGAGATGACCCACTTGGTCAAAATCCTCATCCTGGATAAAAGTGACAATGGGTAATAAAAATAGGTGAAGCAATCAATACAAACTGGACTCTTTTGGTAGAACAAGAAATTTATATGGAAACATGAACAGCAGATAGCCTGAAATAGAAGAGAGCTTGAATTGTGAACTACCTTCTTTTTGTACAACCTGGACACTATCAGGAGTGTATTCTTCAGCATGTAAAATAAAAATATGTAATTGCTCATTTTCATTTTACTGCAGATACAGTTAATGATTCCTTTTCTCATTGCTTAATGGCTTCAAGTACGCAGTGAAAGGGAATGTGGATAAGACAAATACTGAAGAATTTGCTATTGAAGTATTGCCCCTTCAACAAAACAAACGCATCACTTACGCTGCCACGCCTTTATGACCCATTGCCAGACAGAGTACTATTAACACTTTATAATCAGAATACCAAATGCTCAGATTAATTACATACTGCAGATCAGAGCTGTACAAACAGTCTCCAGCCTCCATTCAGAACATCATTCAGCAGAGCCCTGTTTACAGGAACTCAGGGACAGCTCATGAAGAAGCTTTTAACTTTCCAGGTTTGAGAAGCTAGGGAAATGTGTGGCTGCACCTCTCTTTCTAAGAACATGTGTACAGAAACAGCTTGCAGGCTGCATCACCTTGCATACCTCAAAGTCATTAAGGATGTTTGCTGTCTAAAACAACTTGCACTTTTCACAGATACAAAGAGCTTCATTAAAAAATCATTACATTTGTTACAGTAAGAGATAATTGAATCAGCCAGCAGTTGAAGACAGCCAATTGAGAAGAAAATCTCCTGTTCTGTTGCTGATCATAAGTAAATAAAAATTTGTCAAGGAAAACTATCTTCTGTTTAAATACAGTGTGGGGAAAAAAAAAAAAAAAAAAGCACCTTAAGGCTGAGATCAAAGCTCTCATGATCTCTCATTTCACACTGATGCAGGCCAGTGAACTCAATATTATCATTGAAGTAGAAGTCAGAAAGATGTTGTCTTTACCAATAGTATTCAGTAAGGAGAGGAGAGACCAAAGCTATCTTGCAGAAATTTCTCCCTTTCCTTCCCATCATCACCACTATGACATTGAGTAGCAAATCCAACTTATCTTCCAGCACATTTGTATTTTTGTCTTTTACTTGTTATTTAGGATTTTATTTTATTTTTTTACTGGAGAGAGTAGGGAAGAAGTAGAAACAAAAAAAAAATCCCCCACAAGGAGGAAAAGCAGTCATACAGAAACTTGGAATTCATGGCTAAAAGGCTTCCAGAAAAGTTTTCCAGGCATTCAGTCTGGTATCACAATTGTTAACAAAAATAATTTTTCAGGTGTTGTGTTCTTACTCTTTTCTTCCCCTTTCTTCCCAGTACTCTCAGAACCATCCTGCATCTCTCTTGCAAGAAAGACTCACTTTCCCCAATCACAGTACAACTATGTATATCAAGTCAAATGTTGCTGCCAGGGTTAAGAGCTCAGTTTTCACAAAGACATTCACAACAGAACTATGGAGTTGTACATACAAATGCAAATTCTCTAATTCACAGTGCTGTGTCACCTTAGTCCATATACACTTTTTCTAGACTGTAGTATAAGATGATATCAGAATGGTCACAAATTCACTAAGGTGATTTTGCTGTGATTCCTTGAGGTAATGTTTCAAGTATTAATGATGGGAGAAGAGTCTTGAGTCTTATTAGAAGGCTGATCATATTTCTGGTTTCAAGAACTACGAATTCCTATTTAATGTTTTTGCAAGTTACAACTTTAATCAAAGATGTTCACACTGGAGGATCCTACTGAGTGGATTTGAACTCTGTTTACTCACTACCTTATACAAACTATTTCTGCTGATTTGTATACACAAGTACTGCTGTTCCTGTATGACACATCACTTCCACAAACTGCACCTAGACTTGTTCCATTGCAGCTGCACCATCCACTGAGCCTCACCACACTCCCAGCCATGCTCCCATTTGCGTTCTTTTGTCATTCAATCAGTATATAAAAGTCTGCCACAAAATGGAATTATGCCATGTGAGGATTGATCCAGTGCCTGCAGGACACTAAGCCCAAGAAGCAGAGAATCCCTTGATATACTGATACCATTAATAACATTTAGAACTTAGTCACAGCTGTAGTTGTTAAATAGAGAGAAATAGATACTGTCTGCTAGCAAAAATTTATATCATAATACATATATTGACATTCATACATTTAAAAGCAATAGAAGATATAATAGAATCCTAATTGCCTTTATTTACTGACTGAACAACTGCATTAAACAATTGATTTTCAGACCCTAGCAGGCAGAACTTGAGTAAAAATGGAAAAGATTTAGCAAAATGAAATCCGATTTCTTAAAACATTCTACATCATCTGGAAGTTCCATGTGACAAATTTGCAAATAACAGAGCTCCAGCTTTCATTATGGCCCATAGACTAAGCCACTTCTAAGAGAGAATGGCAAATGATAGTTCCAGGCTTTCTCTTCCTTTGCCTTTCCCCAGAGATACACTATTATTTTATTTCCACAGTAGAACTGCTATGCTATGCTTTCACAGAAAAAAAAATCCTAAAACAAAGAAAAAAAATCTGATATGACAAGCACTGCAAACACAGTTAACAAGCTACTTTAATTATCCTCCTAAGATTTTCTCATTTGTACTCTGATCATCATCTTCACAAGCTTAATTATGCTTCATTTTTTCATTCTACACTCATCTCATTGAGTATTCCAGGTGAAAAAGATGTGTCTGTTTGGAAGAGAAACCTCAGGTAATTATTATATATTGTTATTTTTCTACATAATATGTATTTTTATCTTTGGGCAATACGGAGTAAGAAGTCAGGGATATTTCACTGCTCAAAAGCAAAACTTGCTGAACAGACATCAACATAAAGATCATCACTAAGCAGATGACTGAAGAAATGAAGAAAAAACACAGTGCTATCATTTGCATTTTAAAGATTAGTATTAATAAATTCTGGTTCCTCAGCAGAAGAAACCTTTCCACAAACTTGACCTTTGAGAAAGTCAGAAAGAACAGCTGGGAATAAATGTGCTCTGTAAGTCAAGTACTGAGATACTTATGCAGTTACTACTTACAATTTATGCACTGCTAACACTTTTAAAGTCAATAGGAATTATTGCATTATGATTGAGTAGAGACCATGTAAACCCTAGTGTATCATAATTTAAGGACTGGTGAGTTGTTTCCTCTAACTTCAGAGAAGGCCTAGATTTACTCACCTAGCATGACCAAACTTAAAGTTTACTTTTTTTGAGATAGATCTAATTAATTTTACTTCATTTATCTGCTGAGATGCAAACTGTTGCCCCATATTCTCATGCTTTTTGAGCACAATGTCATGTCTTAGAATTTAAAGCTACATAGAAGTGGCTGCTCTGACACACTGACCTTCAAAATTCTGGTATAGTAATATCACATAAGATGTTAAGTTTAAACAGAATCAAGTGCTAAGTTTTTTTTTTGTTTTTTTTTTTTTTTTTTTTTTTTTTTTAAAAAAAAAAAAAAAAAAAAAAGGCACAAAATAGTCAGCATTTCAATATAATCCAATCCATGTCTTACCTGAACCAAGTTCCATCCTTTTAGAGATTCAGCAATGATAGAGGTAACGGTTGCACATACACCACCAAAAACCATCAGATGATTAGGTCCATATTTTATTGCATCATAAAAGGCTTTGAGTCCCTTTGCATTGTCACACTGGGAAAAAAAAAAAAAAAAAGAGCAACGTTTACTACAACAAATGACATTATTTAGTAAGAAATAAACTATTGGTCAGGGAGAAATTTGAGGGATAGCAATTAAACTGTATAATTTATAAAATATTTTGGCCCAAGCATGGAAAACTAGAGCACTCTGCTCTCGAATGCTAGCAGCCTGAAAAAAAAAATAGAAAAATCAAGAACATCTCTCCTTACATCAGTCAAAACCTCAATGTCTTCCATCTAAGCTGGGATATCTGAATTGTGATACTACCTTTTGACAAATAATTTAAGAAAACCAAGAAAATGTTATTGAAACTTTTTCTGCATTCAGAAATACCATCTCCCAAAGCAGACTTTGGAATATAGCACTAGATGTCAGTAGAAATTTCACGGTTGAAGGAAAATTTGATACCACCTCTTGTGCCTATTTGTAAAGCAAGCTCCATCTAAGTAACCACTCTCCTAATGGCCCCCAATCAACACTCTGGGTATATATAATATTACCATTCAGTCCAAAATATATACATCTCTGCAATGATATATATATTTATAGTTGAGAGCCTGTCATTTAGAAAAACAACACAAAATCCTAAAAAAAAAATTCAAAATGATAATCCTTTGAAGTGCTAGGAATTAACCCATCTGCTTTCACAGTATACCGTGCTTTGAGTAGCAGATTGGACTAAATGACCTTTTCAAGTCCCACTGAAGATTATCTCTTCTGGGTTTTTTTGATAATTAATTTGATTATGTTTTTTTCCCCCAGCTGCTAACAATGATACATTTAATTGAGACCAGGACTGAAAGCAAATAAAAGATAATGCTGGTCAGTACTGAAAAACATATTTCAGTCCTTGACTAGAATAGTACGAATTCCTGAGCTTGCAGAAAAGTATTAACAAAACAAATAGCTGAAGTTCAGAATTTGATTCCAAAGTGTTTTGGAAGTCAGTCTACCAAAGGGTCTAATAGTAGCTGCCATTGCTCCAGCAGTAGCTACACTTCTTTTTTTTTTTTCTTTTTGAAACAATATTCTCTGCCTACTTGAACTATTGTACACCAATCTCCAATGTTTCATTGCAACAATTCATTAAAACAGTTTAATTACTATCAATATCCAAGTACTCATTGTTTAGTATTCAGCTAAGAGAATAAAGATTTTGCATAAGACATTTGCAAGCTTATACTAATCTACTTACTGAACTGATATGATAAAAGAAAAATTATTCTATTTGCAAGTAACTTGCAATAATAGAATTACTGCTCTTACTATTCAGAAGGATACAGATTACTACTGCACAGGCTTCAAAATTGCATAATATATGCAACTTTTTTCTTATTAGAGAAAAACAAACAACACTTGGTACAGCAGAGGCTCCCTTGTCAGTTTGATAGATTGTTAGCAAGCTCACAATATGAAGGAATCAAGTTTGCGATCAGGCACTGCCCTCCATCCTTACTCCCCCATCTCCTACTTAAAGATCAGTTTATTCCAAGCACAGCTAGATTGCTGTACTGCTACTTTACTTCTGTAAGCAACCAAGGACAACAGAGCTTTAAGAATATGAACTTATCTGAAGCCTTTCCCCTCATCCACCCATCCCAACCTGCAAGGAACTTACTTTTTTTTCCACATCAACTTAAAACCAGACAATATTGTTAATGCATTGACAATAATCATTTTAAGAAATACATACATGAAACAAGGAGAATGTTGATAGTAAAATAACAGTTGGAAGCTCTAGCCCATGAAAAAATTACACGTGAGAAGTTACAAAGAAATAAACTTCCACGTTCTAAATGGGAAAGACTTAGAGTCTATTACCTGAAGTAAAATTCACACTAAAATTTGTCCTTACACCACAGAACATCAAGACATTCTTTAACTGTTATCTGCCTACAAAATATTTCTCACTGCAGTGAAGCCACCTGTACAATCAACGAATGTACAGAAGTTATAATTATGAGATGTACCACAGAGTTTGGCTACACAGTTATTACACCAAAGCAGAAAAGATAGGAATGCTTAAACCCATATCCCGGACTCGCTTATGAAACTCCAGTGGAGTGGATCTCCAGAAGAGACCCTTTCCCACTGGTAGTCAGCTCTCAGAGGGGTCTAGGAGATGTGGAGCCAGGCCCCACCCCTTCCGGCAGCACAGGGGATTTGCTTTCACCTGTGCTTCCATGGCTGACTCATTTCTCACCTCAGGTGATCAATCAGAGGTTCAGGCCATGATTCAGCACCTTATACAGTTTTAAGAACATCAGTGGGTCAATTTGCTGGGAGGTTCAGAATTGCTGTTATATAAACTTTCTCCATTCTTACTTATTTTCTCTCTATACATTTATAAAGATTCTTATACAAAAACAACACTTCCCCAGACACAAAGCATTTCTCCCAGGAATACATTAAAAAGTTGGTTTTTTTTTTCCTTGTACAATCAATAGGTGTACAAAGGCTAGGCTTAGTAAGATTATTGCAATGGAAAGATAAAATAAATGCAAATGCTCAGTGGTTTTCTAGGCTCATAATAAGCTCCACAAGGAGCAATCTCTAGAAAGAAATCCTTCCTCAGTGTTAGTCAACCTTTCAATGGGATCTGGGAGAGGTGAAGCCAGGGTCCACCCCTTTTTGTAGCACAGGTGAATTGCCTTCACCTGTGCTCTTACAGCTGACTAATTGCTTGCCTCAGGTGGTCAATCAAAGGTTCAGGCCATGATCAACAGTTCCCATACACTCCTCTGTCAAACTATTAAGATTTGCACAGCAGAGATATGTTAACAATCAGTCCAAAATACGTACAACAATGTGTGAGGTACTGATGTCTAAGACTTAGTTACAAGCTGTAATGCTATAACATGATGGAAAGTACAGTGATAATAGTGGGGTAGCAAAGTCTTTGGCTACAGCAAGTGAGGACAAGCAAAAAGGCAGCAAATATAGATGCAGAAACAAATGAAAGAAGATTTTTACCTTTAGAAGGTCTGAGACCTCCATGAGGATACCTTTGCCTCCCTGTGCCAACCCTGAAATGAGATCTGGGAAGGGATGGATCCTGGCTCTAAACCTTCTGGTCACTTAGCTGTATTGCATGCACCTAAGTTCCCCTGGGTTGGCCCTGCCTTCCCACCAGGTGCTCAATCACTGCTTTGAGATATGACTTGGCATTTCCTCTACACAAGCATATTGTGTTGTCACCTTTGCACATTCATACTGACTAGTCTCAGTTCTCTGCCTCTTGGGTTACCACAGTTAATTACAGGAGTCAGTCTATTCCTTGATCGAAACTGCCAAAATTGTTCAAAATATGCCTCAGAGATGAAGAAAAAGAACCTAATACTGTAGTTGGCCGCAACTGGACAGAAGCAAGAGAGAAAAAAAAAAAAAAAAAAAAAAAAAAAAAAAAAAAGATAAAACTGGGAGAAAACAGACTTTCACATTTGTTTAATGTCACATTTCACAACACATACCATATATAACATTCTTCCTTGCAAGCAACTGAACAGTCTGTCACAAGCATGAAAAAGTAAACATTCAGATAAAGTTAATAGCTTTAAGAAGCCAGAGAAGAGGAAGCCTTTGTAACAGCTTGTCTGTCTCTAGTCTGAAGAATGTATCCCCAAACCCTTTTACAATGTAACCTTTTCAGAGATCCCAGACCCTGTTGCTGCTCACCATTATCTATTGTCAAACCCTAACGTATGCCTACAAGTGGGCAATGTTGTTGAAGGGCAACAAGATCAAACACCACAGAAATGCCCACCCCATAACCAATCTAAACTGCTCTCATCAAGTGACTATTACTAGGTTCAGGAGCAATGCTATGCAGAAATCTAATTGCAATACAACAGAAGTATGCATAAGAACAAAATTCTTAGAAAAAGGTGGAGACTGCAGAGTCCTGGCCACATGCAGATGACAAGAAGCTGGCTGGGTTATTAATTTGAGCATGACTAACAGGAATGAAGATGAAAGAATCCCTAATAAAAAGCCAAAAATTGAAACAATTAAAAACATCACCCAATGGAGACCATGCTGTTTTTGCTCTTCCACCTAAACTGACAATAACGTCTCTATTTTACTGAGATGAACTGCAGCCAGCTCACTTTTTGACTCATGTTAAAAAAGAGACAGACGTGCTGCATGGTTGAACTTGACTGCACATTATAACAGCATGGTTGCAATGCACTTGGCTGGAGAAATTTATTACTGCAATTGTACCTTCAGGTACATGTGATTTAATGCATGACAGATTTTTCTTTGGAAGAAAGGGTTTGAATCTACTCATCCCAAACATATTAATTGTTTAGCTTAGCCTCAGTCAAGAGCTGGAAATAAGACATGTACAAATAGAAAATAAACATATTAATGAATAATTATATTAAATGTACCTCTTAATGCACTGATGTGGTACAGACAATTGTGTATGGACAATTCTCACTGAGAAACATTAGCACATCACCAAGCAAGATGTGTGAGGAGTTCTAAATCTCACTGAGACAAAGAATTATTAATATCACAGATGGCACTTCTCAAAATCATAGTTTCCATTTCCAAGGAAACGGAATCACTTATTTTAATTAGGAAAACAGTCAGATGAACTGCTACATAGGAGAGGAGTTGAATGAGTTTGAGGACTGAAGTGTTAACCTTCCTGAACCTTCTTCAAAGGAGCCTGGCAAATAAAGACTGTCGACCTCTACCAAGAAAGGAATCAGAATAAACAGGGAGAACGTCCTGCCTGAAAGGTGATGGGTGCATAAGGACAAGAAACCTCTCTGGGGAGTACAGTATGGCAGCCAAAATTAAAAGAAAAACCTTCTTGGATGAGTCCAAAGGGTAATGGCTGCACAGAACCATGGAAAAGTGCACAGCCCTGAAGCCACAAGAAGCTGAACAGACCTCTGTCTCCTAGAAGGGCTGCCTGGCAGACAGCAAGATACCAGGGTATGCTCTCAAAGACTCAGAGCCACAAGAGTGTGACACAGTGC